ATGAAATCAGGGGAAAACTTGTAAATGTTAGAGCAGTAAGACAGTGAAACCAACTAACACAGGAGGTAGTGAGCACTCCCAACACCAGAGGCATTAAGTAGAAAATCAGACAGCCATCTGTCAGATGTGCTTTCATTTGGATTCCTTCTTTGAGCAAGGGATTAAATGTAGTGGCATTACAGGCCCCTTCTAGCTTCATTATTCTATGATTCTGTAATTGACCAAGGGAAACCAGCTCTTCCAGTCTTTCTCCTTGATCTTGTCTAGCCTTTAAAAAGAAAAAAGAACAGGAACTACTTTGCTAAACACTACAGGGAATACCCCATTTTGGATTCTGTTTGCCTTGAAGGCTCTGTATATAACCCCTTGCTCTCATGACACACTACTTCAGTAAGTTGCTTTGTGTCATTTGTGCACCGGCAGGCCATGTGACCTCCACCCTGCCCCAAATTGTGGGAGAAGTTTTCAGTTATGGGCCCCATGCTGTAGTATCAAGTGGCAGGTGGAGGCACTGAGTCATGTATTGATTGACGGCTGCTGCTTCATTCGCATCAGAAGCAGCACGATACAACTGATAGAAGGGAATGTAAGATCTCAAAGCTTAGATACTGTAAGTATGTCGGATATTTTTCACCCAGTAATGGACAAGATCAGTGGCATTTGGGGCAGCTAGCATTGGATCTTCTTTAGTCCATGTTGATCTGCAGGAAGGTAGTGTGGCAGCCCTTTCTTTTTCTCATATCTCTTGAGGCCTTTTGTCAACGCTTCTTCTGTCTTGAAAGAACGTTCAATAGATGTGACCCTTATAGAAAGAAACACTGTATGATGACACATGAATACAGACGTAGTTTTATAGACCTTGAGCATTGGCTGCAGGACGTTCTTGGTAGGGTGTGGTAATTAGGGTGCTGGACTGAGGTTTGAGAGGTTCCAGGTTGAAGTGCCCGCTCAGTCATGAAATCTACTAGATTGCCTTCAGCTACGAGTCCCTCTCTTTCAGACTGACTGACCTTTATAGGGTTGTCATGAGGATAAAGATATGTCTGGTGCAGAGAAGCAAGGTTCTGCTGCTTCGGCCTCAGTGGAGGAGAGGCCAGGTATAAATGCAACTAACAAAGAAATAAGAGCTATCTCTTATTTTAAAATGTCTGTCTTGTGGGGCAGGGGGAATGTTTACCTTTAGGCCTTACACTCACAGGTTTTCTGAAAAATACGGTGAACTTGGCTCTATTTCCCAAGTGCTTTTAATTCGTGGGGTGCCGGCTGTCTTTGTGGTGTGTTGGATGGGATTGGGAGGGCACCATTACTTCCCTACTACCCGATGTTGTGGCAAGTGGGTGCCTTGGCAATAAAGTGTGTGTTCCTTTGCACCCGAACCAGCTGTGGATGCCTAACTGAGCATTTCTCTTGGGGTGTTTGAACAACACCTGCCGCTACCTGTTGTAGAAATCTTATTTTAGATCAATGAGCAGCACTAGAGTGAAACTCACTTTCCAAAAGAGAAACTGTACCTCCCTGTCCTCACTTTGGCTCGCACTGAACTTTGTAGAGCAGGCATGTCTCAACTGGCGGTGTTAAGTTAGCTAGCTGGCGAAGTTCAGCTGTCAGACAGGCTGGTTTACCTGTGTTTTACCTACCTAGAAGCATTCCATTTAATTCATACCTAAGAGGGATCCCTTGCCTTTCATGGCTCTTCCAGTCTGTCCTGTTACAGTAGTTCATATAAGCTTAGGCTGCCTCGTTGACTAAGCAGGTGTGTGAATCTGATTCACTGTTGCCTTGACTCCTGTTCTTTTTCTTAACTGAGGATTTCGGAAAGCAGCTGTTCTCTCGCAGTTGTTAAATTATAGTTAATGCCACTGTTGGATAGAAGTGGGAGGAGCAGCTGCCCATCTAATCCTACCAGTACTGCTCTGTTTATAAATGCTCTCATGGCAGTGTGAGACGTAGGCTCCCACACCCAAAACAAATTTCTCTCTCCAAAGAATAACCTGCGTTTCCTGTCTGGTCCAAAAGGAAAACAAAAGATCTCTTAAAGGAATGAAGATTCTGCTGTTGCCTGCCTTGTTAGTTTTTCAGTCTAAAACATAGACACAGGGCTCCATTGTTTTCACCGTTTCCCATCTCCACTCAAAACATACTGTACCTGTTTCTCTGGTTTATTGATACACAGCAACATGAAATGGAGCCACTCGTGCAGCATTTCATTTCTCTAAGATTATTTTGTACTTAAAACAGGGTGGGTTTGAAAAAATTCATATTGATGTAAGTCATTATTTTGATTTTTAAAAAGGTTTTTTTTATGATTTAAGTAAAAAAAAAGTTTAAATATGATTTAAATCAATTTGAATTCTTTTTAAAAAAACCACTGATTTTTATCCACCCTGACTTAAAGTGCATTAAATCTGCAAATAAAAAACATTAGAATGCAGAGGCATCAGGAATTCCATTCCCTACGTGTGCCTTGCAGGAGAAGAGCCAGCTTGGGGAAGATGCATCATCCCAGGGTGCTTCCAGAAGAAGGGAAGGGCAGATTGCTTCAGAGTACTCTGTATCTTTTTTTTTAAAAAAGGAAAATATTGCCATAAATTGGAGTCAGTTTCATGGCGCATAGTTATTATAAGACGCAACTAATTTGTATCTGTCTGGATACAAAGAACTGTGGATGTAGTTCTGGTCCTCCCAGAAATTTTCAGCTTTTCATATCCTGCCCTGAAGCCACTCTTACACCATTGCTTGTAATGTCCTTAACATTTTAAAAGTGTTATATGGGGGGAGTGGGAGTAAGATCCTACGTAATCACAGGGTTGCAGTCTTAATAGGAGGAAGGAATGACAAAAGGCTAGGCAATAGAGAAGAAAGCAAGCAAATGCAGGGACTCATTTCTGAAATGGCAGCTTTGTTGTCTGATCTGAACAGGTGTGTGTGCCCTTGATTTAGATATACACCCCAGGGCTAATACGAGGCATTCACCCTTTGCCCCAAGCAGAAAAGACTGTTTCCCTCTCCCTTCCATGTACAGAGGTGGATTTGACTAGCAGACGACTTCACTACTGACACTGGGATGGGGTTTCCCCCAACGCCAGAGGATGACAGAGCAGGGTTAGGGCTGGCATACGCAGGTCTGTCCTGCAAGAGGAAGGGGCTTGCAAAGAATAACCGAGGGCTGACACTGCTGCTTGAGATTATTTCCTAATTATTCCTCATGGTGAAATACACATTGTAGCAGGAATGTTTGGTGGATTTGTTGTAATATTGTACAGTACTTGGAAGCATTTTCTGTCTTGGCTTAGTATTATGTCATGGTGACACTAGCAAGTGTCAACCTGGTGGTGGTGGTGGTGGTGGTGATGATTCAAAATGGACCCATGAGCCCAAAATGATTGGACGCACCTTTGGGAGAATTCATAAAAATATTTTTAGAAAATGACAAGGGTCTTGAGATAAAACAAAAACATTTAGAAGCATATTAGAAATAATATTCTAAAACTATTTCTTGTGTGATCACAGTGTTGTTACAAGCTTTCTTCTGGCTCAAAGAACTGAGCTCTAATCACAGGCTTTTTAGGCTCCAGGAGATAAAGTTGTATATTTCACCAAGATCATCTGCATACCTACCCTGGAGGGACAGGTTTTATATGGACTCTTCCTGACTCTTGCAGCTTGAGAAGGTGGGAGGGCTGCAGTAGCACTGCTTCTCTGTCTTGTTTTAAATGTCGTGCTCTGCTTAGCCTCCCTCCAGCCTCACTTTAGTTCAAAACAAAGGCGTTGGACTAAAGCTCTCATCAGTCAGTAATGGCTGGCATGAACAAGGTTGGAATCTCCCAATACATCTGAAGGGCAGCTGGCTGGGGAAGCCAGACTTTGAGCACCCAAATGGCATTTGAGAATTGACGTGGGATCAGTAGAGCAGATCATCCTATGCAGGATCTGTTGAATGTCTATATACTATGGATTCCTGTGGTATTCTGAGATAAAAATTGCTGGGGTTAGTTTCTCTTCACATCCATAATGTGATTGCCATGTGCCAGGGAAGAGGCTTTAACTGCGGATGTGATACTTTTATGCTGGTGCTCAGAACATTTCCACACTTCAGGTTAGTTTGACTTGTAGCTACTAGATTCCTTTTGAGAGGATAAAAGAGCCTCTCTGATCTCTCCTCCTGTTCCCCTCCCCCCCCCCAAAAAATACAGAGCAAATAGAGATCATAGCTGAATTAACTGGGTTTTTCAGATGCTTTGCAAGCTCATTGTGTGGGGTTAACAGCAGGGCTGTTTGGAGCTTTTGAAGCAACAGAGAGGGATCAAAAAGCCTCACAAAGTGTACAACAATAATCAGCTGCATCTGTTTATATTTAAGCCTACTTCCCAAGAGGGAGGCTCTCAAAACACTTCTAAAATAGAACATAATGTCTTTCCTTTTGCAGCTGGGTCTTGGTGTTTTGATTCTGGACACCATTGCCTGCAATTCTGGAATGCTCTTACAGCATACTCTACTCAAGAGTAGAGCATTCCAGAGACCTAACTGGTCTCTCATAGGCTGAGTGTAAGTAAGGCACTACAGGTGATCTTCACACTAGAGGTGTCAGAGTTCTTGAGGAAGCGGTTGTTTTCACAGAGTAGGGACAATGCTAAGTAAGGCACTGTGACTTTTCTTGCATGATATGACTGATTACTACTTGAAAGTCACATAAACACAGTGAAAATGTGAACAGTGGCTGAATGGGGTGCAGTTGTAGTGTGCAGTATCTTTCCGAAAGCCATTAAAACCTGTTTGCTAAATAGTAGTGGAGTCAAAATTGAAAGAAATCTCTTCTGGTAGTGTTGAATTTTATCCAGGTGAGTAGTTTATCTTGATTTATGTGGCTCTAACCCAAGATTTGGATATTCGAAGATGGGACCATTTGCTCCTAGGTAAGTATGGTGACATTATTTGCTTAGACACAAGATGTAAAACTTGCTTCTAAGTGTATAATGCATTTCTATTTGTATTTCCACCAGACTGTTGAGCATGGCTTTCCTCACCAACCCAGTGCACTGGGCTACAGCTCGTTCCTGCATCTTATGGCTATTGGGACCCGGTCAGGAGCCATCAAACTGTATCCTTTTGTTTGATCTCTGAGCTGAGCAATGACTTTCAATGGTGGTAGGTATACAAACTGTACAGTGATACTTCACATTTATGCAGGACATGAGTGGGTGGCCCCACACACCCTCCGTCCTAGGTTTGTTTGCCTTCTTAGATGTGGAGCGTGCCAGAGCTAAAAAGGGAGAACTCCACTGATCGCTGGGATCCCTGATTTTTCCATGTGTAGGAGCGCAGTGGAAATGATGACAAGGGGGATCAGGGCTACACCCACACATCTCTGCATATGGGTTTATCCTAATATTTAACACCTCAGTAGTAGAGTTATGCAGGTTTGTGATAGACTGCCTAGCTGGTTTGTAATGGAGATGAAATTTGAACTAATATAAATCTGATGAATTGTTGTGGTTTATGGGAGTTCTAGTATATAGAATCCAATGGGAAAGGTGCTGAACTTTTAAGGAAACGACTCAGATTAATCTAGTCTAGTGGAAAGTGGTGTCTGTAGATAAATAGGTTTATCTCCTATATTCCAAGTCTGTTTTAAATATCTTGGTACAGAGGAAGGGTTCATTTTTAGCATAGTACAATATATGTAGTCTGAATTTTTGAGTGATAAATAAATCTTTGGCTTTCCTGTGTTGATATTCCTAAAATACTGGATGGAGAGCACTTTGAAGGTACTTCTCTTTCATCCAGCCCCAATGTAACATAGACATCTATGCGGCTCTGATTCCCATGGCATTGAGCCAGCTAAGCATGGAACAAGGAGTGGGAGTGGGGAATGAATTCTTAACTCTGACCTGGAAAGACAACCTAAATCCTCTCCCAACGGCTTTGCTGTTTCCAGCAAGATTCTCTTCAGGAAGGGTCTTGCAAGGAAAGGTTGGGCCATCTGTCTCCTAGTTATGGATTAAACAGGGATTGCAGCATCCCTGAGAGGAGACGAGACAGACTCCAGACTTGCCTGTTTGAAAGTGCTGCATAAGCACATGGGCTTCCTCTCCCAGTGTTTGAATGAGAACCAAATAGGTGTGTGGGCAGTAAAGAAACTTGTTATCAAAAAGGAATTCCCAAATAACTACTGCTTTCCTATCTGTAACTAGCAAATGCTTTAGTTTGTGCTTAAATAGGCCTGCCACCTAGAATGAGTGACTGTGTGTGCATCTCAGAGGGTGGACTGCTGTGTTTATGGACTCTACGTGCCTCTTGCAAGCAGTGGTAAAGGTTTTGCACAACTATGAGCACATGAACAATGGTTGTGGTGATTGCAGTATAATTTTTGTTGCAATATGAGAAGAAAGATCAGTTATTCTAGGACAGATGTTATTTGCCACAAAGTGAATGCAGCAAAAAAACAAAACCTGCATACATTTACATACTATTGGCCTCAACCTGTCCTTCAGCTATGGAGCTCCAGGGGTGGAGTTCATGGGCTTGCATGAAGAGACCAACACTGTTATGCAAATACATTTCATTCCTGGCCAGGTGAGTAGAATTAAGGTAACTGATATTCTGTATTTTTTTTTACAGGTATCTTTTTCAAAGTTCTAGAATCTCTATTGATTTTAGTGTCCGAAACAGGCTTCACCTCTTACCCAGCATGATATAAAACACAGTGGTCAGAATCCACTTGAGTATTTCCATGCAGGCAGGGGCAATTGTGTGAGCAGGCTGTTCTTGCTGTGGTTGGTCATGTGTTATGTTTCTTAACTAATTACAGGTCACATGAAAGGCAGGCCTTCCATTTCACATTTTTCTCTGGAAGATACTACATAATAAAGATTATGGTAGTGGTATAATTCTGGCTTATGGAGACAATGCAAAAAATTGCTTTTTCAGAAGTACACTTTTTTAAAAAAACTTTTTTTTATTATATAAATCCATCCATATTGGTTTAACATCGTGTCACCAGGGTACAGCTTATAGTCATTTGTAAAACAACTACTACACACATTACACTCCTAATCTATACAACATCCTTCTAACCATTGATAGAATAAGTCCCATGTTTGATAATATTTTGTATCTTCTTTTCCTTTGATTTTTAAAAGAAAGTACACTTTTTCAAAAGAAGTACACTTTTGAGAATCTTGACAAATTGTGGCAAAGTAGGCTGAAGAATACCTCCTTAAAAAAATAAAAAGGAACTGTGGTCATTACAAAATACAAGAGTATGTGATGCCTTTATAGACCACTAAAAATCATCATATAATCTGCAAGCTTTCATGGATCAGGACATTTCACTTCGTCAGGTGTGTACCAGTGTGAAGCACTTAAAGTCCAAAAAGTTCATGGCAAGATGGATTTTGCCAGGTACATCTTTCTTAGATGTAAGGCAGGAAAGATGCAGGCTGCATTAGAGCTGTTTCAAAGTTACAGCTGAGGTAGCTCTAGATTGGATATCCCCAAGATGGTGAAATCCGTTGTGCCATGAACTTTTGGACTTTAAATTCTTCATTCTGGTACATGCCTGAGAAAAGAAAACTGAGGGGTGATATGATAGCACTTTTCAAATATTTGTAAGGCTGTCGTACAGAGGAGGGGCAGGATCTGTTCTCGATCATCCCAGAGTGCAGGACATGCAACGGTAGGCTCAAGTTAAAGTCAGCCAAATTTCAGTTGAATATCAGGAAAAAACTTCCTAACTGTTAGAGCAGTACGACAGTGCAACCAGTTACTTTGGGAGTTGGTGAGTGCTCCAACACTGGAGGCATTCAAGAAAAACTTAGATAATCCCCTGGCAGATATGCTTTGATTATATTCCTGCATTGATCAGGGGGTTGGACTTGATGGCTTGTAGGCCCCTTCTAGCTTCACTATTCTATGATTCTAAGTGGAATGTCCTGGTCCATAAAGCTTGCAGATTGAATTATGATTTTTAATGGTCTGTGAAAGTATTGTCTACTCCTAAAGGAAATTCTCTCGCTCTTTAGGGTACACAGTATGGTGTAGTGGATAGAGTAATGAATTAGGACCTGGGCTCTATTCCCCAGCTCTGCCATGGAAACTCACTGGAGGGGGGGGGCGGAAATGGAAAACCACTCCTTAAATACCTCATTTACCTGGAAAAAACCTATTAGGATTGCTATAAATCAGTTCTGACTTGGGGGCACAAAACATATAAACAGTTGGAAAGAAAGATGCACTCAGTCTGTTTGCACGTCTCCTATGTAGTTTCTTAGTATTCAAGGGCAAAAGTTATTTGTGTCTCCTGTTCTTACCACTAATAAAGGTAACAGTGCAATATTTTTCTGCCTTCTATAGCTGAGTATTCATAGTAGTTCCTACCTAGACCCTTTCCTATATATTAAACTGTGGGAGAATTCCTAATTCCACAGTGAACACCTTTGCTGTGGTTTACTAGCTGAGTGAGACAAGAGAAGGACCTCCAATTTCATGGGCTTTCTCAGATGTTAAGGTAAGTCAGATTCTGGAACAGATCCAGCACTATGTTATGCAGACACTGGTTTTGGGTGTCTGCTAACTGCCCACTCCATTTTTGTTTTAAACCACTGAGAATAATTTCTTGCTGCCACCTCCATCCAGCAGCAACCCTAGTATAAAAGAGAGAACAGAAGGGGAGGGACATAATCACTGGAGCTAGGAAGTTGCCATTCACAATTCAGACAGTAGCTTGTAATGCCTTTCAAATTAGTGCATTCTTTATACCATAAGCTGCTGCAGATCAAAGTTTAAGTTAATGGAACAATTAAACATAATTTTGTTAAAGTGCTATAGGGCTCACTTGTTTTCGTTGTAGTAGACCTAGCCTGGTTGCTTCAAAAATTTGGCACAGCTTGTAGACTGAAGATTGTTTCTGTCTACAAGTATTTTTTTCAAGCAGGACACATTTATTAGGTGGAGGAACAAATGAGGAGGAGTATGCCAACTAGCCCTGGAGCTAGCAGTCATAAACAGCTCTTGATTCTAGTCTTGTGGGATATTCTACTTATCTTTCAAGAATGCTGCTGTGTCACCTCTTACTCATAAAAATAGATAAACATTCTGAACTTCCCATCCTGGTCTCCTTCCATATTGTCAATGCGCAGACAGGCTTTTATCATGCTGGAGGGAAGTGGAAGTATGGATAATGCTTGGCATCTGTCTTGCACATATATTCTCAGTGTAAGATAAAAACTGGTTTTTATCAGGTTGCATGATAAATGGAGCACCTTGTCCTTAATGCACAGAACAGGCAGATACTGTGTGCAGCAGCTCCTTGATTTGTGTACTAGCAGGAACATAAATAAAAGTAATTTTTTCTCTCTAGAGGTGGCTTCTCATGTGGGGAAAATGTTGTGCATAAAGTAGGGGTCTCAAACTCAGTTTACCTGGGCGCTGCTGGAGACAGAGTCTGGGTGAGGCTGGGCCACATAGATTTTCTGCCAAGTGGAGCAAGAGCCCGAGGAAGCCACCCAGGAGTTTCCTTAGCCCAGCTGGAGCTCAGAGGAGGAAGAGGAGGGGCGTGCGAGCCCTTGTCACCTGCCACGACCCCCTCCAGCTCCTTCTTCACTACCACCACCAGCAGCAGCAGCAGCAGGACAAAGAAGCAAAGAAGGGAGGGAGTGCCGGTGATCGTCTAGTGGGGAGGGAGGAGGGCACGACATAAAATAATAAAAAAAAAAACCAACCTCACAGAATTGCCTTGCCAAAGGAGAAAAGCCCCCATCAGTACCCATTAAATTAAACAGAACGGGGTGGGCCCCCCACAGGTGCGCACACTCATGCGTGCATGCACGCGCACACACACACACACACACACACACACACGGAGGTCTGGCAACCTTCCTCTGAGGCACCCCGACCTTCCTCTGAGGCCCCCCCAGCAGCTACCCCCACCAAGACAGAGGAGCAAACTTTGCAAGAAGAGCCCAGGCAGCCTCCAGAGCCGAGGCGGCTGAAGCAGGACGTCAAGGAGGAGGAAGCACTGCCGAGCGCTGAGGTGGCCACTGGTCGGGCTGGTGCTGGGGGTGCCGAGAGAGAAAGAGAGCCAGAGAACTGCTTCCGTGGAAGAGGCGGCAGCAGCAGCTGCTGCTGGTGGCTTGGAGGCTCTCTTCAAGGATGGGCCAGGAGCAAGCTCCGCTCTCAGCCATCACGCGGCGGTGGCTCGGCCACTTGGGGAAAAGGGCCAGCAGTGCGCCTCGCTCGCCGGCTCTCCCCCAAGACAGTGCCTCTTGCACTCTCCATCCAAAACTGCAGCCTGCCAGCCAGCAAACAAGTGAGCTGGCTGGCAGGCTGCAGTTCCGGATGGAGGGGGCAAAGAGCTGGCAAGTGGGACGAGGCTTTTTTCACCTTTGACAGGAGAGGATGCATGGGCGCTTTGGGGGGCAGGCAAGGCGGGGCCACAAACTATCATCCGGCGGGCTGCAGATGGCTCCCGGGCCGCATGTTTGAGACCCCTGGCATAAAGGGACTCTTCTCTAGTTTTAACTTCAGCTATCAGTTCAACCAGCTTTTAACCCAGCACTAAGCTTGTTCTCTCTCCTGGAAATTGATTCTTGAGTAACCCACCTTTTGAGGTATAACCTCTCGGTTTGATTACATCGTTTAATTACAGTGCAGCACTACAATTTAAAAACAAAGCACATCCCCATTGAGCTCTTTAGTAAAAAAAAAAAAAAGCTTTGTCTCTAAGATTTATGAGGAAGAATTTTTGGAATCTTTAACACTCTCCTCCATCGTTTGTTGGCAAGCTCAGGGCTGAGCCTCATGCTTTATTGTGATCACTAAAGGATTAAAAACGTTAGAAATGTGGAGCGATTGGAAAGCTGATGACAAAGTGCTGAAAATACCCATGGGAAAAATTTGCCTATTCTGCTAGGTGTGGTTTCGACAGGTCGAATGCTCAATTGAAAAATGCCTTGAACATTGGCTAGGGCTGGGCTTATAGCAAATGTTGTGGGGCAACCACTCCTTTTAAGAATGAAGTCAGACATAAAGAATGCAAGGTGAGAAGAGAGTTTCAGAATATACCGCTCTGCTCCCCATGGGGTGGAGATAGGTTTCTCTCAGACGACAAGAAATTAAAATTAGGAGTCTGACTAAGCTCCCATATGTAAACCAGCAGTTCAGAAAGAGACAGGGATTTTTTTTTCAGGCTGTGAATAAACACCCAGTTAGCTGATACTTCTCTCTTTTTTTTTAGTGCCTTTACGGAGCTAGGCATTGTGAAGGCTCTAGAAATGAGTGGGATTGTGCCTGGTGCACTTACCTTTGTGAGGTGGGAAAGATAGAAAAAGAAGACCAGAATTGAATTGCTAGTAATGCAAATTAAGGGAGAGAACAGTGGCTTTAGGCACTGAGAGGATTTCTAAGCCTAGAAAGCAACAGAGCAGAAGACATGAAGGTTGTGGGTGGCACGGGCTCACTGCTGAAGAACTTGGGCACTATGAAGAAGCACATTCTTCAGAAGAACAAGTAATTAAATATGTTCAGGTTCACTTGATTTGCATAATTAAGTCTTCTTGCATTTATTTGGAGATTAATTTACTTCATTCTTTCCCCTGGCCAGTTATTCCATAATTCTGATATATAAAGTATTCTCCAAATGTTCATAGGGCACGCACATCATCATCAGCACCTGAATCTCAGTTTGGCGTTGCATCCACCATTTGATAGTACCTAATCAATGACTTTGTGCACATTGTATTTTTATTAATTTTATTTGTCCGAGTTAGAAACAACATTTGAACAGATATGGTGCTGTGCTTGGATTCTGAAATGAGTCAGCTGAACATTGGCCTTTGTTTTTGACAAGAGTAGAAATGCTGGAATTTGGAAACCTTTCAAATGTTTTGATCCTTTCATTCAGCTTTTATCTCCAAGCACTATGTTGACAGGTCACCATTCTGTTGCTCTGTTTCCTCAATAAGGACTTTATCCTTCTTCCTTTCATAGATGCTTAATTTTTCTGGTTCCTGGAGGAATGCCTTTTTCAGTAGTAACAGTCTACATTGTGCATGATTAAGACAAGGAAATGTTGTTTCCTAACAGCTTCCTTTTGGGGAAGATTTTTAATTCCACAGGTAGCATTCTTACAATCTAAAGGTGCAGTGATAGTTTTCCTTTTCAAATCCAATCATAGCTAGAACTTCCTTTGGGATTGGCCATGCATTGTGTCTTAGGAAGAGCAGTTGCTGAATAGGATAACATTCAAAGTGCTGCAGTACTAGATAGTACACTAAAGATTTTTTATTCCAATTTTTGTTTTTTAGAGTCGCTTAGTGACACTGCTGGATGACAACAGCTTGCATTTATGGACCCTGAAACAGTCCAACAGCAACATATCTGAGCTGCAAGAGGAAAGACACTTCACACTCCGAGGGCCTCCTGGGTAAGTGAGTTACTTCCTCTCCCCCTCCCCCCAAAAGCAGCTGAGAAATGGTATACAACTGAATCAGCATCATTCAATGTGGTTTTCCTTCCAAGCTGGTTCAAGATGTTGGTGAGAGTTCTGAGCACAGTGGACCCTCGACTTACAGACGGCTCGACTTACAGACTTTTCTGGCTGCAAAATTTATTTTTGACTTTTAGCCTGAGAATCGACCTACAGACCAGAAAAAAAAACAAAAACGGAACAAAAATGGCTGGTTACAGATTAATTGGTTTTCAGTGCATTGTGGGTCAATGGAGCCTCGACCTACAGACTTTTCGACCTGCAGCCACAGTTCCAATACGGATTAATTCCGTAAGTAGAGGGTCCACTGCACTTTGTTTCTTCTCAGGGGCTGCAGGGAAGATGCCTGATCTTCTCCCCTGCACAGTAATGTTTGAACTGAGCTCCTTCCTGCCTTTGTAGTAGTAGTGTTCTTGGAGGTAATTTGAACAGAGTGGGGTTCATGCATCCAAATCTTGGTGAAACGTTGCAACCGTTGGTTGCTAAAACCAACTTGCTGACCAGCTTTACTTGATTGTGGACCTGTACAAAGTTCATTATGCCATGATTCCTTGCTAGCGAAAATGCTTACCACCTAATGTCTTGGTTGCCTTTGTTTTCTAGTCAGGGCTGGGGAATCTATGACAATTCAGATATCTCTCAATTTCCGACATCTCACCACTGGCCAGACTGGTTGGGCCTGATGGGAATTGGAGTCCACATCTGGAGGACATAGGTTTCCCACCTCTGCTTTAAACATTATTTAATATATTCTATATATTGCAACAGAAGTATTCTTTTTGGGCAAGCTATTTGCTTTCATATAAAATTTTGGGTTAACAGTGTATTTCTTTTAGCAACATACAATATATATATATTGTATGTTGCTGCAAATGTCAGTGAGCGAACTGGTCTCATACCACTGTGATTTATCAGGATTTTCCTTCTCTCTTCCTCCAGTTCCCCTCCAAGTGCCACCCAGATCACAGCCATCCTCGCCCATTCCTCGCAGGAACTTCTGTACCTGGGCACTGAGAGTGGCAGCATCTTTGTCATGGAGCTCCCATCCTTCCGAGTGCTAGAAGACCGGACCATCAGTCCAGAGGTTGTGCTGCAAAGGTAAGCAGTGGACGGCAGTGTCCAAAGACACTGGAGTTACATGAATTAGCAAGGATTGTTGGGTGTTGTGCCATGCGCATAAAGTAAAACAAGGTTGTGTAGAACAGTGGTTCTTAATCTTTGTTACTCGGATGCTTTTGAACTGCAACTCCCAGAAACCCCAGTCAGGACAGCTGGTGGTGAAGGCTTCTGGGGGTTGCAGTCCAAAACTCCTGAGTAACCCAAGGTTAAGAACCAATGGTGTAGAAGACAGAATGGGACCTAAGGTTTGGGTAGTGTGGGCAGCATATAAGTTAAATAAAGTAAATAAATAACTCTTCCAGCCTGTTGGCCACAGATGGCCGATGTAGAAGGCTGGCCCTCCCGATGTTCTTGGACTGCAAGCCCCATTGGCCATGCTGGCTTGGGGCTTCTGGGAATCACATAATGTCCTACTTTTCTCTACCCTTGTTATATAGACTCCTGTGGAATACTCACTTTGTGTATGTGTGAGAGGGGAGCACCTTCCTTGATGGCCACCAAGGCTGTCGTACCCTTTGTGGAGTAGCAGTGGTAGAGAAGGCAGCAGGGTTGGGCCACTAGCTGGGATCTATGACACTTAGAGGTCCAGAGACTGGAAACATCACTCTTTTTTGATTAAAGCTCCTAAAATCACCCGCAGCTTCCATGGTCGGTGGCAGTGCCGGCTTGGAGGGATTCTGGGAGTTGAGTCCAAAAAAGGTAACTTTTCCAAGCTCTGAGAGCCCAGAGCTATATTTGTATCTGACTACAGACGGTACTTCCTTCGCAAAATGTTTCCTTCCGTAATTTAATTGACCTTTGTTTCCTCATAATGATGTCATATCGCTCTGAGGTGCTTCTTTGCATTTCCTTGCAGGGTGCCTGAGGATTATCGAAACAGGCGATCCCTCGAATTGGTGGAAGCCTTGCGGGAGCACCCCCGGAATCCCAACCAAATCTTAATTGGATACAGCAGGGGCCTCATTGTTCTCTGGGACTTGATAAATAACAAAGCGACACACCATTTCCTTGGCAATCAGGTACTCATATCTTCTGGATTAGAGCTAAGATGTCCCTTCCTCATGGGATATTAAGCAGGCAGGGAGAGAACTATGTAGAGAAAAGATCAGGGAAGTCTAGAAGGGTTCCCTTACCTGTGTGTTATGCATCCTTACAGAAATCCCAACACCTTTTTTTTTAAGCTTGAAAGAAGAAGGATACTTGAAGTTGAGGTTTATAGTCGTAGAAGGGGAACTCTGTAGTTTGTTGTTAAGGAGGGAAAATCTATAGGCCTGTTAAGGAAAGAGAGAATTCAGCCCAGGGATGCAAAGTAGAGTAGAGCTGTTCGGATTCCTGGGGATACAAATATATATATCGGCACCACAAATGCTATGGAGATCCAGCCCTTGCCCCCCCCCCAAAAAAAAACCCTGGCTGGTCCACTTGGCACACAGTGCATGCGGCTGTCCATGTTTTTGCACCAATCGTGGAAACAGCCCAGCTGGCACTTCCCTGCCTCCTTCCATTACCAACCACTCAACAGCTGAGCGAGGAGTCTCTTTGTCCTGCCTCCTCGCTTGAGTGGTCGGCTGTGCAGGGAGGTGGGGAAGAGCTGGCCAGGCTGCTTCCGCGATTGGCACAACGATGCAGGCAATGACTGCACATGGCAGCCAACAGTGAGTAGACCGGCTGGTTTTTTGGGAGGGGCTGGATCTCCGCAGTTCCTGTGGTGCTGATATTCATATTCATATCCCCCGAGGATATGTCTATGAGTAGCCCAACTCTAAACGTAAAGGCAACCGCTTGAGCTTCTGATACTTCCAACAGAAGCTTTTTGGTTTTGTACTTCTTCCCACACCACCAAGGTGGGGGGGAAAAACCCAAGCAGACAAATAACACTCAGCCTGATACATTTGTATTCTGTTCTTATTGCTCTTTCAGAATCCCAGCTCTTGACTGGAATTCTGAACAGTTCAGTCTTGTGTTTCCTTAATACATGTATTATGGGTGGAGCTTGGAAAATTTCCTTTTTTGGACTTCATTTCCCAAGCACATATGTACTCCAGGCAGTATGTCCAGCAATCTCGCTGGCTGACAGATCCTGAGAGCTGTAATTCAGAACAGAAGCATCAATATTTACTTCCAAAGAAGTGGCCATGTTTGTTTCTGTAAACATCTCAGCAAGAGACAAAACAAAACAGTAGCAATAAATTTAAAAAAAATGAAAATAAAGAAAGAAGACAAAAATATTGTGGCACCTTAAAGACTAACTTTTATGCAAGATACCGTATTTTTCGCACCATAAGACACACTTTCCCCCCACAAAACAGGGGGGGTGGAAAGTCTGTGCGTCTTATGGAGCGAAGAAAACAGATTATATTTTCCTGTTTTCTTCTCCTAAAAAATTGGTGCGTCTTATGAAAAGGTGTGTCTTATGGAGCGAAAAATACGGGTACTTTGTTAAGGTTCCATGTAAAATAAATCAGATAAATAAAAGGATGTTTTAAAAAAATGAAACATTTTGTTCATAGTGTTCTTTATGAGATTTTTCTTCTGAGTGAAGCCAGTTTCTTCTTTGAGTACCTTGAGCTTTGTTTTTTTCTATTTTTCCATAGCAGCTAGAAAACCTTTTCTGGCAGAGGAATGGCCGTCAAATCATCAGCTGCCATAATGATGGAAGTTACTCCCAGTGGACTGTTTCGAGTGACGATAGACAGCCAGAGCCCCTGGAAAGCAAAGTGCCTTATGGTCAGTATGGCGGGCTGCTGGGAATGTAAGTCTTTGGTCTTTAACTTGACATGTATTCAGAGCACATCAACGCAATCCTTGGAACCATCAGGCTGTTCAACAGCAGTTCAGAGATCGTGAGTACTTGCCTAAGATGCACAATAAAGAGAAATTGCTGAGTATCTGAATGGCCACGCTACGTGACTATATGTTATGTGTGGTTCTTGGAGTCTTAATACGTTCAGTTGGAATAGTTCCCTGAAAAGGTTACATTTACTTGCTGCTTAAAGTCTAGCCAAAAAGAAGTATTGGTTTTCCAGACTTTACAATTGCAGTAGTTGGCTTTCTACTGGAAATCTGCTACAGGTATTAATTAGTCTGTGAATGGTCTTGATGTTTATTGCAGCACTCTTGCTCATGAAGTGTTGTTGGACTATGGGCACAGGTCCCTAGTGACACCTTAAGATAAGGAGTTCATTTACATATGATAATCACATGCCATCAAGACAATTCCAACTTTTCTAGGTAGAGAATCCTCGGACATAGTTTGCCATTCCCTTCTTCTGGGGGCACCTTGGGGACTGTGCAGTTTGCCCCCAAGGCCACACAAGCGGGACTGTGCAGTTTGCCCCCAAGGCCACAGAAGGCTGGCTCTACTTGCAGGGGTCGCAGTGGGGAATTGAACATCTGACTCCACAGCCAGATAGCTTGGTAGTATTCCTTGCGGTGTCTGTATAATTAGTGTGCTGGGATCATTGGATATGCCAGTTATGTTAGCGCTTCTCATAGATGGAAGGATTAGAGCGATAGGGGTTTTTGTTTTTGTTTTTGTTATCTTGGGTTTATTTATTAAAACTGGAATACCTTGTGTGCATTTGCCACTAAAACAAGTGTTTAATACATATATACTTTTTTTTTTTGCAAATCTGCTTTTCTAGGTCCTTTCCCTTGCAAAGCTATCTCCAAAATCTACTGGCATACAACAAAGAATGGGTAGGTACTTCAGCAGATAAGGCAGTGCTGCTCCTCCATAGATCTTTTGGAAACAGGGCTGCTGCTTGTTAGGAGTCTGCAGCCAACTGAGGAGATCTCACCTGAGACTCCTCCTTGGTTTATAATTTGAGCTCATTCATGTGGTTGCTTAATAAATGCTGCTGACACTAGAATTGCTAGGATTCTTGGGCCATCATCCAGTGTTGCTGCTGTAATTCCCAACTGTATTTCCTTATTAACTACCCAGTGCCACCTCACAAAAACCATCAGAGATTATGGTTCTCATTACTTTATTGTTGTCTCTAGCCTGGGATTAATTAAGCCACCAGCTATTGTCATTGTTTACTGAACAGTGCTTCCTGGAAGGGGAACTGAATATCAACAGGGGACTTAATGGTTGTTGCCATGGTGTGAAATGTCACATCATCAACTACTTGTGCCCAGGAAAAAAAAAATCAGTCTCTGTTTTGGAGCCATATATAGCTAGATGCTGCGGATTGCTGCCTTGTCATGGCGAAGGGGCTTGAGTAGCTCAGGGAAGCTGTGGGCTATGCCGTGCAGGGCCACCCAAGATGGACAGGTCGTAGTGGAGAGTTCTGACTAAACGCAATCCACCTGGAGTAGGAACTGGCAATTCCACTCCAGTATCTTTGCCAAGAAAACCCCATGATCAGAAACAAAAGGCTAAAAGATATGACGCTGGAAGATGGGACCCTCAGGTCGGAAGGCATCCAACATGTTACTGAGGAAGAGCGGAGGACAAGTACAAGTAGCTCCAGAGCTAATGAAGTGGTTGGGCCAAAGCAGAAAGGACGCTCAGCTGTGGACACGCCTGGAAGTGAAAGGAAAGTCTGATGCTGCAAAGAAAAATACTGCATAGGAACCTGGAATGTAAGGTCTATGAACCTTGTTAAGCT